AAAAGAAACATTGAGTCACGGCATCTTTGGATTCTAGACGATTAAGTTCCAGATAAATTCAGCAAGATTGCAGAGGATCCAGAGGTTTTTAAATTAAGGTATAATGCATGCATCGGCGATTAATGTGAAAGGCAGGGCATAAGCTTTTCCAACACCAGACTTGTATTATATTACAACACTAGCATTACATTTTAAGCTTCGGCACCAAAAAGGGGACAACACTAGAAAATAAACAGTGCACATTTGATTATTAATTTTGATGGAAGTCGTTATTGGAGCTGCTCACTCCTGCATACAGAGGATGAGGTTAGAGTGTGACAGACTGATTAGGGGTAAGTGAATCTAATAATAGCAATTTGAGTTAATGTGAGTTAGTTTAATGTCAGGCAGAGACAGTTCTACAGGTCATTACCTTGATGTCTCTGCGTCGGCCCAGCAGTCCTTTGGGTGGCCCAGGTCTGCGGTGCCTTACAACTTCACTGGGCACTGGGCCCTCCTCTGAAGCTAGGAGATCATCAGAGGGAGCAGCATCAGTCAGAGAGCAAATGGGTTTTAAAACATAAATAACAAAGTCTCTACTCCAACCAATACCCTGAAATACCCATTTCTGACCTGCACTTCTATCCTCAATCACTGTCATCCTCAATCTCAATCACTATGGTCTCTAACATCCACCCCTATTCTTCTGATCTGCCTGGCTAATGGCTATAAATCATTCAACTCTACCTGTCAAATCACTCCATTTCAAGGATGGAGTTCAATGGATCTTGTTGCGGTCCAACTCAAAAGGAGAGGCACGAATGTGCATTGACCTATATTTTCATCCATACACTGATGCTCCTATCCCTGTGTACGGCATTACCTTGGCTGCTTGGGGTGACAGGATTCTTTACAGGACTCTTCTTGACTGCTGCTTCTCCGTCCGTGTCCTCGTCCGAGTCAGACTTCAGCAGGCTACTGTAGGAGCGATGTGTCACGTTCCGTCTTGGCTGCTTTCTGGTGGAAGGGCTCAGGCAGTCTCCAGGGGTTGCCGGGGCCAACCCCTCCTGTGCCTCTCCCTCCTCCCAGGACTCCGACCCCTCATCATCTTTGGACTTAAGGCCATTAGCTGATGACCTGCGCCGCCGCCTCGAAAGGACTGCACAACAAATCAAAGCCCAATGGTAAAACTAAAATCACTGACTGCATATTTGGGCCATGAGGCAGGCCACTGTGTTCTAGTGTGGTTTTCAGTTAACGGTGTCAATGTTTTTGGTAGTAACAGCAAAAACACACAAGTGGCGTGTAGTCATTAGTAATTGATCCACTTGCTTCCAGTTGAAGCTCGCATCATCTCCAAGACCCTGGTGCTTGCCTACGGAGCAGCAAGGGGAACTGGCCATCCTTAGCTTCAGGCTATGCTCAAACCCTACATCACAACCCGAGCACTCTGTTCCTCCACCTATGGGAGGGCAGCTCCCCTCAGCCCAGTCAAAGCTCTTCTCTGTCCTGGCACCCCAATGGTTGAACAAGCTTCCCCCTAAAGTCAGGACAGTGGAGTCCCTGCCCATCTTCCGAAAACATCTGAAACCCTTCCTCTTTGAAGAGTATATTAAATAACTCTCACGGAGCCCCCGCCCCCAAAAAAGGCACTTGGCTTGTCCTACTAGCACTGACTTTGCTGCTAAATACTTTGTTGAGGAAGAATGTACTTGATACGATTGTGATGTTGTTGTCTCACCTAGCTATCTTAAGATGAATGCACTAATTGTAAGACGCTCTGGACAAGAGAGTCTGCTAAATGACTAAAATGTAAAATGATATAAATACAGATGTAAACTCAGCAAAAAAAGAAACATCATCTCACTGTCAACTGCATTTATTTTCAGCAAAAATTAACATGTGTAAATATTTGTATGAACATAAGATTCAACAACTGAGACAAACTGAACAAGTTCCACAGACATGTGACTAACAGAAATTGAATAATGTGTCCCTGAACAAAGGGGGGGTCAAAATCAAAAGTAATAGTCAGTATCTGGTGTGGCCACAAGCTGCATTAAGTCATGTCAGGATGAGCCTGCAGGAAGGGTACCACATGTGGGAGGATGTCTTCCCTGTAACGAACAGCGTTGAGATTGTCTGCAATGACAACAAGCTCAGTCCGATGATGCTGTGACACACCGCCCCAGACCATGACGGACCCTTCACCTCCAAATCGATCCCGCTCCAGAGTACAGGCCTCGGTGTAACGCCCATTCCTTCGACGATAAACCCGAAGCCGACCATCACCCCGGGTGAGAAAAAACTGCGACTCGTCAGTGAAGAGCACTTTGTGCCAGTCCTGTCTGGTCCAGCGACGGTGGGTTTGTACCCTTAGGCGACGTTGTTGCCGGTGATGTCGGGTGAGGACCTGCCTTACAACAGGCCTACAAGCCCTCAGTCCAGCCTCTCTCAGCCTATTGCGGACAGTCTGAGCACTGATGGAGGGATTGTGCATTCCTGGTGTAACTCGGGCAGTTGTTGTTGCCATCCTGTACCTGTCCCGCAGGTGTGATGTTCATATGTACCGATCCTGTGCAGGTGTTGTTACACGTGGTCTGCCACTGCGAGGACGATCAGCTGTCCGTCCTGTCTCCCTGTAGCGCTGTCTTACGCGTCTCACAGTACGGACATTGCAATTTATTGCACTGGCCACATCTGCAGTCCTCATGCCTCCTTGCAGCATGCCTAAGGCATGTTCACGCAGATGAGCAGGGACCCTGGGGATCTTTCTTTTGGTGTTTTTCCAGAGTCAGTAGAAAGGCCTCTTTAGTGTCCTAAGTTTTCATAACTGTGACCTTAATTGCCTACCGTCTGTAAGCTGTTAGTGTCTTAATGACAGTTCCACATGTGCATGTTCATTAATTGTTTATGGTTCATTGAACAAGCATGGGAAACAGTGTTTAAACCCTTTACAATGAAGATCTGTGAAGTTATTTTGATTTTTACGAATTATCTTTGAAAGACAGGGTCCTGAAAAAGGGACGTTTCTTTTTTTGCTGTTTTATTAAACATAAGAACACCTACAAACCTGTGAATGGCTTGATGCCGCGCTTTACTTTCCTCGCCTCAATCCGAACACATCGTTTTAACCTGGTGGCATAGAGAAATATTTATTATTATCTATTTTAAAATGGGTGCCATGTTCAATTTGTACACAAGACAACCACAGCTAGAAAGTAAAAATACAGTTTGTGTGTCCATGAGTAGATTAATAATAGTGTATGAAAAGTAGGAGCAACGGTAACAGTCACTTACACACAGCACTGGCGTCTGGTGTTGGGCCCTCCAAACTTGGGCTTGTCCAGGCAGTTGAAGCAGGTGCCGCAGTCGCCCTCATGGAGGCATCCCTGGCAGGACCCACAGCGGGTGGCACGGCCCCCAGGACCAACCTCGTTAGAGTTCCGCTTGAACTTCCGCTGCTTGCTGTACTTGTGCTTCTGTCTTGTTGTCTTGTGCTCCTGAGTGCTCTCGATTTCCTGATCAGAGGGGTCATCAGCAATGTCTAAAAACAAAGAGAGCACGAGAGAGAGCGTGCGAGAGAGAGAGATCCAAAAATAATTTGTAAACGTAGGTCACTGAGCTAAGGTCACATACCTGAAATCGACAGAAAGCTAAATATCAGAAAAATAAAACAAGTGGTAACCACCGTTCTTAGCAGTGTGCTTCGTAAACATAAAGGTTACCTTCTACAGCTGGTGAGGTGGTGATGCCTTCTCTCTCATGGAGGGGCAGAGCGCTAAGCCTGGGGATATTGTCAGGCACCATGGCACGGGGTTGCCCCAACGCCACCGCTGCTGCCCGACAGACATGCTTGATGCGTGGACCACCAAGGAGCTGGTCCTACGGGAACAGGATTATGTGGGGAACAAAGTCATAAATTCAACTATTATAATGAAACTCCACCCTAAAGACAGACACCAAAATGCGGCCACAGCACAAATGGCCTAAACCTAATTCAAGAGAAAACCTAGACAGGCCACTAACAAAACACTGTACTATAAACATCAACAGTACATAAACCTAAGTCCACAAAATGGACACAGGTGGCTAGACAAAGCAAAAAACACAAACACAGCCAGGGTCAGGAAACATGGGCTCACCTGAACAGAGCCTCCTATCCTCCTCCCCCCTCCTATTCTTAAATCTCTGGGACCGAGTTTTACAGATCCAGACAAGAGCTGAAAGAAACAAGGGTATAAAAGTGAAACTATATTAATGAAACAGCTTAATAATGGAAATAGGTTTTAATCCAACAAATCTCTGCCAAATTCACACACTAAGCCTACATTCAACCGTTACCAACAACCCTAATTCAGGGTCAATCAATGGCTGCGTCCGAAATGGCACCCTATTCCCTATGCTGTGCACTACTTTTGACCAGAGCCCATATGGCACACCATAGGGAATAGTGTGCCATTTGGGATGCAACCAGGGTCAATCAAGGTCACCGATTCTCACCTGTGATGACTTCATCTGTCTTTGCTGGTCGATCTTCACCAGCTGCAGCTTGGCTCTCTTCAGCTGGTCGATCTTAATGAGCTGGACCTTGGCCCTCTTCAGCAGATGGAACATCCTCTTGTTAGTGCCAGTGAGGTTGATACGATGGCTGGTGCCCCCCTGTTCCACCACCACCCCATCATCACGGCTCTCTCCTTCGTAAACCCCTTCAGCAGCGGCCTCTGCCCCTGGGGAGAAGAATCAGTCAACTGTCACTGACTTCCAAAAGGCTGACTGTGTCATCATACCTGAGACAGTCTGTGTCCCAAATGGCAACCTATTCTCTATATAGTGCACTACTTTTGACCAGAGCCCTCTGGCAAGCTATACTGCTCAATCATATGGTAATATGTGGTTTCCAATAAGGCCAATATGCATTAAAACATCTAAGAATACTACTTTATCACAAAAGTACAAGTCATTTTCTGGAATAAAGAAACAGATAGATCCTAAAGATCCATTAAGCGAAAAATAAACATTTAACTGAGCACACAAAATGCCTTACCTTGGAAATGGTCTGTGTCGTTTGCTGCCTCCTCCAGAGTCTCAGATGATGCAGCTTGGGATGCAGCAGCAGCGTTACTGACCAGCACTGCCAGTTTCCTCACAACCCCGGGAGAGTTGAGGTCCTCCATCTTCAGCTTGGACCTCCCTCTCTTCCTAACCGGTGAGGTCAAACTCAGGTCCTCCTGGGCTTCTTCTTCTTCTGCCGTTTCATCCTCAGTAGCACTAAGGCCTTTCTTCTTCTTCTGGGCCAGGCTGAGGGTCAGCTTCTTGAGTCTCTCGTAGACCTCGAGGTGGGATGAGCCTGGGCTGAGCGTTGAGTCCTTCACAGAAAGGGTTGATGACAGGCTTGTCTGAAGTGTTTTTTTACCAGTTGAGCCGGCAACTTTAGGTTTGAACTCATTTTGACCTGGAGTTCGAGACACGTGTTCAACGTCATCATTGTCTGAATCATAAAAGGATAGGCTCATGGCATCCTCCTCCTTCACCTTGTCTTGGCTCTTCTTTTTCAGGGAGCCCCTGGGCCAGGATATTATCTCGTCATTGAGGAACCTCTTGGGTGCCTTGATGACACGTGAAGACCTGGCGCTCACCACAGGCGAGGAGAGGTTACTGCTGGCTCCCTGTCCGATCTCTTCAGGGGACGGCTGCTGCTCCTTTCCCTCCTGCTTCACTGTGGCTGGGAGGTACTCTGGCACGTAGGTGTAGAAGACAAACTTACGACGAAAGCGTTTCTCAACAGACTCTAGCGGACTAAGCCTATGCACATTCCCCGGCTTCCTCCTGAGGCCAAATATGGACTTGCGCTTATACGGTGCTGGTTTCTTTCTTTCCTGGGACATTGCTGGCTCCTGCTCCATCTCAGCTCCAGCCTCAAGGGATTCCCCTGTTCCCTTGGACACACTCCTCCTCTGCTGCTGCTTATTCACAGGTCTAGGGGACAGTGCTACTCCTTGAGAGGCGGTGTGGAGATCGGTGGTCTTCCGTCCAGTTCTAGACTGAGCTTGCCTTTGCCCTTGACCACTGTCAGGGTCCGCACCAGTTTGCCCTGTTTGGTCTTGCTGAGATCCTCTTCTCCTCTTCCCAGACCTCTGTGGCTCAGCTTGGTCTGTTTCAGTTTTGTCTGCTGTTACCTCACCGGACTCTTTGCTCTTGGAGGCCTTCCCTTTGCCTTTGACCACTGTCAGGGTCCACACCAGTTTGCCCTGCTTGTCTCTGCTGGTTTGGGGTCGGGCTGTGCTGGACCCTGAGCCTCCCCTGCCCACCTTTGTTGTTTGGCCTTGCCTGTTCCCCTTTCTGGCTGTTGAAGACGATTCCACCACCTTGCTTCCCCTTTTCCTGTTGGAACCATTTGAGTTTGCACTGCCCTTGCCTTTTGATGCCTTTGTCCCAGTAGCCTGCTTTCCTGTAGATTTAACCCCCGAACTGGGGGACTTTTTTTGGGCTGCCAGTTCTGCAATTATTTTGGGTTTCACAGCGTTTTCTTCTTCCTGACCCTCTCCAACCTCAGGGTCTTCATCGGAGCACTTCCCTCCACTTTTCTCAAGCTTTGCTGTAAGTTCTGGAGCTGGGGGAGGCTTTTCTGGCTTCAATAATGATAATTGGAGAGGCCTGCCTAGAAACAAGACAGGGAAAGTGTATTAATATGAATAGACCAATGTCAGACAATAACTTGATCATGCATATTATTAGGTATGATACCAAAGCTATAAATGGCAAACATGAAGGCTACTTCATATTTCTGCTAGGAAATGTGAGAATTACTGAGCACAGTTGATATTTCACATTATTGTTCATCATTAGCCTACTTACTTTCAGAGATATTGTGTGCTGAGAGTGTAGGCCGGTATTCAGTCCCAAACCCAGTGAAATCCTCATCCTAAAACACAGAAAAACACAGGGAAGGAATACAATTAATAAATGTAAATGTTCGCACTGTGTTTAACAAAAAATAATCATACTGACCCTAACAACCAGAATTACAATACTTTGCATGTATACTACATTAGGCCTTATAAAATCAGCCAACGCATCTTTATTTACAATTAATAATGAAATGTTTAGGCCTATTCGATCTCATCACAGGGTTGGTAAGGGGTGGGATCAGATGAAATCATGGGCAGCAACCCAGCTGATATCTGGTTACAAACCGTCACACTGAACTGGTTTGAGAGATCAGGCTTCAAAATGTAGTGGGGTATAACTGCAAATGGACATGTGTAATTTCAATTAGGTCTAGGCTACTGCAATTGCAAAGTGTGATCATTCATCAAACTCTACATTCCACAGAAAACATAGGCCATCATGAAATGTACACGGAAATGTACAATGTTCACAAATACTGATCTGAATCCTATTTTACAGCATTGCCGGAAGTCGAGGATGTAAGAAAAGGAACGGTAAAAGGATAAAAATGATCTAGACTAAAACTGCAATACTTAGTAGGCTAAATTTAGCCAGCATCTCACTATCCGAGAGAGCAACCTACCACCATGCAATCTGTCCCAGTTTTATGCAGTCAAGAGTGACAAAAGAAACTGCAAAGACAATATAGGGGCCAGAGTAAAAACAGATAGGATATAGAAAGACCTGGGTGACATAAAGGGAACTTTACTTAAAGGGAACTTTACTTGTGAAAAGCAAAGATACAAAATCAGCCAGTCATGTGAGTGTATACAGCTACATGCATAGCTGCCTGTTGCAGCCTGTATTCCAACCTTATTCAGAAAGCATCTCAGAGTAGGAGTGCTGATCTAAGATCAGTTTCGCCTTTTAGATCATAATGAATTGACAGGGCGGACCTGGGCCCGTATCCACAAAGCATCTCAGAGTAGGAGTTCTGATCTAGGATCAGGTCCCCCCTCCATAAGCTTCTTCATTATGATCTAAAAGGCAAAACTGATGCTAGATCAGCACTCCGTCTCCTACTCTCCTTTATACACGTCGGGTGGTCCTCTGTAGCTCAGCTGGTAGAGCACGGCGCATGTAACGCCAGGGTAGTGGGTTCGATCCCCGGGACCACCCATACACAAAAAAAATGTATGCACGCATGACTAAGTCGCTTTGGATAAAAGCGTCTGCTAAATGGCATATTATAATTTTTTTTTGGAATAAGGGCCCAGAATCACAGGGCTGTAGCCAAAAGAGCAGAGCCACAGGGCTGCTGGTTACAAAACTGTCATCAACAAACTACACTGACTGACCACAAAATTGCAGACCAAAAGAATACATGAATATAGGATACATCTTGCTGGTATTTCCACTTTTCCAATCAATTTGCTAGTCTCATCTTCTTGAACATACTTTGTTCATTTCCCTCAACTTTACCACAATAACGATTATTGTGTCCATATCCACATATTGGGATGCCAGATTTGTGAGTGAATATAAAATAACATCTTGATGTTGATTGATTTAAAGTTCCAATAGCTCATTTTAAAATGTGATTAAATATTTTGGCTCCTCCTCCTATAGGCTATTGTGCTGCAGTGAGGTTATCCACTTGCACACTTTAGTTGATGACTTTCATGTACAATAAAAGACCCACCAATTACGTTGGAAGTTATATATCTAGTTCATTACTGAAAATTCACCCTCCTTTATACACTTCGTCACATTAAAATTCGCATTCATGCAAAAGACTACTGATTCAAGCTCCTCTGTCAGACAGTTTAGTTTAATATTCAAACTCAACACATTAGTATGTTTGCGCTTCCCTAAGATACCTACTCATTCAAGGGTTTTTCTTTATTTTTACAATTTTCTACATTGTAGAATAATAGTGAAGACATCAAAACTATGAAATAACGTAGTCGCCAAAGAAGTTTGAAACAAATCAACATATATTTTATATTTGAGATTCTTCAAAATAGCCACCCTTTGCCTTGATGACAGCTTTGCACCCTCTTGGCATTCTCTCAACCAGCTTCATGAGGTAGTCACCTGGAATGCATTTCAATTAACAGGTGTGCGTTCTTAAAAGTTAATTGCAGACCAAAAAAAAAAAAAAAAACATTGTAAAGTGGTTATCCCACTGGCTATAAGGTGAATGCACCAATTTGTAAGTCGCTCTGGATAAGAGCGTCTGCTAAATGACGTAAACGTAAATGTTAATTTGTGGAATTTATTTCCTTCTTAATGCGTTTGAGCCAATCACTTGTGTTGTGACAAGGTGGGGGGGTATACAGAAGAGCAAGAACAGCTCAAATAAGCAAAGAGAAACGACAGCCATCATTACTTTAAGTTCATAAACACTATGCCATGGAATCGGTACGTCAAAAATCTCTTCCCAACTACTTTGCAATCTATATGGGACGGCTGTCAATCCTTTGGTCCTTAAATGAAACTGGTATACTTTTTTATTTATCACAATTTTCTTTAACCAATTATGTTTAATGCAGGGCCGACAGACAAGTTCCTTACTTTCTCCCCCTTCCACTTCCATTTTTTTCATGCTGCAATTATTTGGTTGTAATTTTGGGTAGAGCAGACATTTCCATATGTTTTTGTTAGCTGCATGTGCGACATAACTCCACCAGTCCTACCGATGATATCATTTACAAAGATTATACCTTTAAAAAAAAATATATATATATATATATATATATATATATATATTTGAGTTTAACCACAATATTTGATCCATTATTTGTTCTGTCGTTTCTGGAGGATTCAATTGAAATTTCAACCAACTTTCGATGGCTTGTTTTAGAAATATTTGGGAGATTATTTCCTTTTCAAATAACTGAAAGTGAGAGGTTGTAATCTGAATAAAGAGAAAAAGGCCATTCTTGAACATGGGGTGAGACAATCTTTCTAATTTGCTAGAGAACCAGTTCGGATTTAAGTATAACTTTTGTATGACTGAAGCTTTTAGTGATAGGTCTAATGCTTTAATATTTAATCATTTCTGTCCTCCGAAATCATATTCATTATATAAACAGGCCCGTTTAATTTTTTCTGGTTTGCCGTTCCAAATCAAATGGAATATTTTTTTCTCATATAATAAATAAATAATAATAATGTTCGCTAGGCGTAGGCAAGACCATAAGCAAATAGGTAAACTGGGATAATACTAAAGAGTTAATCAGGGTGATTTTTCCACAAATAGACAGGTATTTACCTTTCCATGGTAGCAAGATCTTATCTATTTTTCCTAACTTTATTTCATTTGGGATATGTATTCCGAGTACATCCACATCACCATCAGACCATTTTATTGGTAAATGACATTTAATTTGGTTGAAATCCAGAGAGGTTAGAAAATGTATCTAGATCCTCTATGAGGTGGAGGGATTAAAGTTGTGGATTTAAAAGAAAACATGAATCATCAGCGTACAATGACACCTTTGTTTTTAAGCCCTGGATTTCTAATCCCTTGATATTATTGTTGGATCTGATTTTAATAGCTAACATTTCGATGGCCATAATAAATAGATATGCCGATAGTGGACAACCTTGTTTCACTCCTCTTGACAGTTTAAAATGTTCTGAGAAATAGCCATTATTTACTATTTTACACCTAGGGTTACTATATATGATTTTAACCCATATTATAAGAGATTCTCCAAAATTTAAATGCTCCAGGCATTTATATATAAACTCCAGTTGTACTTTACCAAAACCCTTTTCAAAGTCTGCTATGAATAGCAGGCCTGGTTTCCCAGATTTTTCATAGTGTTCTATTGTTTCCAGCACTTGTCTTATAAACCTGTCTGATAAAAATTAATAATGTCCGACAATACCTTTTTAATTATATGCGCTATACATTTTGCTTGAATTTTTGCATCACAACACTAAAGTGTAAGGGGCCTCCAATTTTTTTAATGGACTGGATCTTTATATTTCCCACTTGTTTCCTGTTTCAGTAATAATGAAATCAGACCTTCTTCTTGAGTGTCTGATAATATTCCATCCAGTTTGCTTTATTTTTATAATATATTACACTTGATCTTTCATGAATAAGTTTCTCAATTTCTTTTTCCTCTAATTTATTCTGAGCCTCTATGTTACAGTTTTTATTGCTATCTATCTGTTCTGTTAGACCTATTTCCTTTGTTAGTATGGACTCTTGATCTAAATTGCTTTTGTTTTCGAGATGAGTACTGAATTGCATGTCCTCTAAAAAGGCACATTTAATAGTGTCCCATACAATAAGGGGATTTGCTGAACCTATGTCGGAAAAAATCAGTTATAAAATTCCTCTGTGCTAATTAAAAACAAGTTATCATCCAATAGGCTTTGATTACATTTCCAATATCCTCGCCCATGTGGAAATTCAGTAAGAGTAATGTATATGCCAATTATATGATGGTCCGACCGCATTCTGTCCCCTATCAACACTTCTTTAACTTTTGGTCCCAACGAGAATGACATAAGAAAGAAGTCAAGACGACTAGCTTGATTGAGTCTCCGCCATGTATCTCTCACTAGGTCAGGATATTTAAGCCTCCATATATCTACTAGTTCTAATGTATCCATGACATTCATGATTTCCTTAAGAGCATGAGGATGATAGTTTGCAGTGTGATTTTGTTTTGGTCCATTGAGCTATTTAAAACAGTATTATAATCTCCCACCATAATATTAGAGTCTTGTATTGCTTGCAGGGTTGATCATTTATGATATATATTGTCAAAGAAGTGTGGATCATCATTATTTGGTCAGTAAAGGTTAATGAGCCATATCTGTTTATGGTCCAATAACATTTAAAATCTTCCATCTACCTTGTGGATCTGCTTGGACAATTTGCACAGTCGGATCAAAATTACTGTTAATGAATATCATCACCCCTTTTGAGTTTCTTTGCCCATGGGAGAAGTATATCTCGCCCCCCCAAGTCCTTTTTCCACACAACTTCATCTAGAATTGTTGAATGAG